CCCATGAGAAAGAGGGGTATACACAGTTTCGTCACCTTCGTAATGCACTAACACTAAGTTCCTGTTATCTTTAAAGTTATATGCCGTTCTCTTAAATTGTAATGAACCAACTGCTCTATTCCTGCCTCGACCTTCTATTTGTCCTTTAGAACCGGGTAGTCTTATCTTGTAGAACTTTTTCTCTAACACAACACTATTAATTGTCACTGATTTACTCCCATAATGAAGCCACTGGTATTGGTCACACTTCCAATCATCATGGTTATCGGATCTTATCAAATATACCTCGTTTCCCTTATGCTTTGCTGGTGGCATGTCGGATGTACGTGATGTATCTGGATCAGTTAAAATATCCACAATGGCACTCTGATGAATATGATCTGTAACTGAATAAACTGTGACACCACCACCAATTAAAACGGGAGGAGTGTTAGCAATAGGAGTGGTGGTAACTGGTGAGTTAACAGAAGGAGTGGTAGCAATAGTAGTGGTGGTAACTGGGGAGTTAACTGACGGAGTGTTATCAGTAGGAGTGGTGGTGGTAACTGGTGAGTTAACTGAAGGAGTGTTAGCAATAGGAGTGGTGGTAACTAGTGAGTTAACTGAAGGAGTGTTAGCAATACTATACCGTAACTGCATCAAAAGCTTACCCTGAATGTTGGTACCACTGCCATTCCAACCAATACCCCAGAAAGTGTCTGCTACATTGTGTATCAGTTCAGATAATTTTGTACTAAGTAAATATTTTTTGAATTTTGCACACTGATCTAATTTAACTGCCAAAACTTCAAGCATGATGTCCTGCCTGATTAATAACCAATTCTGGTTAGTTTTTACATGTTTTGAAAGGACTTTGCAGTCCTTGACTGTCGAAGCTGAACGAATAAGATGCGCCAAATGGAAATCGGAATGCTCGACAGCCTTGCGATACTGATACAAATGTTCAGAACTACTGAAGGTTAACCCCTGGAAAGTAAGAATACATGGATAAAAATTAGACAAAACATGACCGACACCTTTAAAATAGATGGGAGTGTTAGTAACAGACGACGGTGAGTGATTAGAAGTGGAGGTAGGCAAGCGGTTAGAAGTGGAGGTAGGTAAACGGTTAGAAGTGGAGTTAGGCAAGCGGTTAGAAGTGGAGGTAGGCAAGCGGTTAGAAGTGGGTGAGCGGTTAGAAGTGGAGGTAGGCAAGCGGTTAGAAGTGGAGGTAGGTAAACGGTTAGAAGTGGAGGTAGGTAAACGGTTAGAAGTGGAGGTAGGCAAGCGGTTAGAAGTGGGTGAGCGGTTGGAAGTGGAGGTAGGCAAGCGGTTAGAAGTGGAGGTAGACAAGCGGTTAGAAGTGGAGGTAGGCAAGCGGTTAGAAGTGGAAGTAGGCAAGCGGTTAGAAGTGGAGGTAGGCAAGCGGTTAGAAGTGGAGGTAGACAAGCGGTAAGAAGTGGAAGTGGGTGAGCGGCTAGAAGTGGAGGTAGGTGCGACACAAACAGGATTTGGTGAGATGGTACATGCTGGAATAGATGAGGACGTGGTGGTAGGAACATGCACAGTGTTAGAGGAAGATGAAGTGTTAATAAGAGAAGATACCAGATAACATACCCGTGGAAGAGCAGGCCACTCTTCAATCACCTGAATACCTGTTGAAGTTAGTACTGGTTTTGGTGTTGGTGTTGGTGTTCGTATCGGTAAAGTGAGTAGTGCAGTTCGGTACAGTGATTGGTCTACAGCTGGTTCAGTTGGGTCAGGCATTGGTGTAGGTGCTTTTGGTGTTGGCGTTGGTGTTGACGTTGGTGTTGACGTTGGTAGGTCCCAGATGCTGTCATGAGTATCCTTGGTTTTGCGTAGATGACGAATGGCGCTCTCGATGTCTTTCACCACAGTTGATGTACCACGGTAGCTTAGATGAAGACCATCTCGACTGAGTAGGTGTCTCTGGATAGTACCTTTCTGGGCGAATGACGGGTGACCAACGTAGTGGAGTCTTGGAACTCGGGTAGCTAGTAACTGTAGTTTGGTATCGAGTAGCCGAGCTCTCTGGTTGAGTTCCGTTAGGAAGTTGGTGCGCAGAAGTGCCCCTGGGAATTGGTTGTCGGCTCTAGGTAGGACTCCAGATATGATGATGTCTGCTGTTGGGTTGCTGTGCCAAATGTCTGATGTCAGTTGTTGGTATTTCCTGAGTAGAGTCTTTACTGATGAACCACGGGAGAGGTCGTTGGCGCCAACGTGAAGTACCACGGTGTTGTAGTTGTCGATGGTTGGTTGCAGTTCGTTGAACATCTGGTCAATACGAAAACCTGAATAAGAAAGCACATTAGTTTCAGATAAAGATAAATATTGATTAAAATACTTGGCCTGGGAATGGCCAGCAATCAGCACTGGAAATGAAGACATGATTAGAATCAAGTAATATGAAACAAAAGCACAAAAAATATATTTACAATTTTCTACAATTAATTACACTAAACAAAAGCAAGGAGATTTATATACAAAGAAAAATAGCACTAAAGCAATATATCAATTCGAATAAAAAGCACTGAGGTTGTATGTATTAGAGCACTATGAAAACTTTTGAAAGAGACTCAAAATATGTATTATATTTATAACTGTAAGTAACTAATGTTCACTATTAAAAAGCAATCACCAAAGCTTGTAGAAGCCCATAAATACCAATGTATTGTTTATCATAAATTATCAGTCTTAATAATAGCTGGTCACAGTTCACGTTCATAATTAATTAATTGGATTAACAAGTAGGTGATTAATCTAATCATAACAAGCCCCTAATCAGATTAACAATTAGAGCAATAACAGAAAGTTAACATGCATAAACAATACTCACATTCAGCAACTGGTTCTAATATTTCTCTTTCGTTTCATTTCAACAGTATCTTTCTGCGTTCAATGTTGTAATATCATTGTGATCGGATATTTTCAATTTCAATAATTTAAGGTAAGAGGTTAACATTTTCTTTCAGTTAGAAAATTGATCAGGACAAGTTCGACAATGTCAGGTCAATATATTTTTACCCTTGCAATACTTGTTCACATTTTTTTCTTTTTGTCATTTAAATATTTAATAAAATATTGATATTTATCAAACTTAAAGACATTTATTTAAGAAATATACATAGTCTTTCTATTTTTTAAACGAACATGTCTTTTTTTGGTGAATAGCCTATGTTGGTCAGGTCAAGTTTTTTGGTCTTTTGAATATTTGTTTTCTTTTCATTTCTTTTTATTTCTTTGTTAAATGTCGAAATCTTCCTTGCTACTAAATTTGAAGTTAATCCTTCCAAAGAAAAAAAGGAAATTAGCAGTTTTATATCGGTCCGGACATTAATTGCGGCAAAGTCGTAGTTGGTCAGGTCAAGTTTTCTAACTCTAAAAATTATTTTTTTTGCATTTTTTTCTTATATTTTTGGATTAAATGTTTTAATCTTCCTTGATATCGAATTTGAAGTCTATCCTGTGAATAATAAAAAAGTATTTAGCCGTTTCATATCGGTCAGGACATTAGTGATTTCAAAGTCGAAGTTGGTAAGGTCAAGTTTTCTAACTCTTAAAAATATTTTTTTAAATTTTTTTTCTTTTATTTATTAGATTAATGTTGTCATCTTGCTTGGTTCCAAATTTAAAGTAAATCCTTTATATAATGAAAACGTAATTAGCATTTTCATATCCGTCAGGACTTTGTCAGGACATTGTCAGGACATTGTCAGGACATTAGTGTAACCCATGTAGGTCTCCATAACATCTTCGACACTGAGCAAAATACAAACAGCATAGCAAGCTTCAATAAAAGACCCAGACATGAAAAAATGTAAAAATAATTTTACCAAGAAAATCAAGTCCTGACTTATGTACAAAATAATAAACAAAAGACAAGTATGTTATTCAGGTGTACAGCAACAAGCAACATCACTGAATTATAGGCTTTTGGTTTGGCAAATGTTTGGGACAGGCATATACATACATACATTACATACATGACATATATTGAAATGAAAATTGGAGGGAATGTGGGATAAACATGTAGCCTGATGTAGGTCAATGAAACAGCTACTCAAATTCAATGGCATAAAAATCAAAACACATCTAGAGGTCAACAAGTTACATAAAGGAGAAGGTCCGGTAAGAGCTAGTTTTGGCCTATTACACATGTATCATGATGTATGCTCAAATTCAAGCTTAATTATGAAAAATCTATCAAATATGCCACAAAACGTCACTTTTCAGATGGTTTTTGTCTAAAATATTAGTGGCCACATTTGTGTTCAGTCTCAACCTTTATATATGCTATGTATTATTTGTTCACGTTTTTAAATATTAAGACTGAACACGAATGCGGCCACTTCCATTTTGGACAAAATCCGTCTAAAAATTATCACAAATGCTAAAATTGTGAAGATTTCAGTAATATTGCATAGATTTATGATGCTTACATATGTACCTGATGCATGTGCATTGTATTGTCAAAAACAGTCCATATTTATGGAACAAAAGTATTCTTCTTTCCAATAAATAGCTAAAAGTTTACATTTTAACAAATTTGTAAAAATGTTATATTTTGGGGCCAAAAAGGGGTCTTACCGGGGCCTACTCCTTTCAATAAATGGAGATGTGGGTTTTAAATAGTCTTCCAAGAATAGAAATGTGTTTATTTTGTGTGTCAGGCTTTAAATTGACCCATGTCTAGAAAGGTTATGAATTAATTTTATGCAGAATGAAAGATCTGCAATAAATACCAACTTTCCTAAAGGACATGTACGAAAACAGTATAAATGTATAAAATTTTGGGAGCCTTGACATGTACATTTGCATACATTACAGTATTGATGAACACATGTACTTGAAAAATTTTGTCCGTTGCTTACACTTTCAAGCAAATAGCTCCCGAAACATCTATGTCCCAGAGATTTCAAACTCGAAGTAGCTGTCAAACTAAGATATATAAAGTCAAATACATAAATGTACATTGTACTAACATTTAATTTTATTTTCAGACTTCTTATTTAAATTCTTGGTGATAGGGAGTGCTGGTACAGGAAAATCTTGTATTTTGCATCAGTTTATAGAAAATAAATGTAAGTAAATTTATTCTATTAATATAAATACTTATTATCTTGTATCAAGTATGTGTATATTCTATACTTTGTTTTAGTAAAAACTACATTTGATTGATCTAGTATAAACTTGTGTAAATTTTATATATAAATCATCATTATAACAACATCAGACAGTAATGTTATTATGAACAAATTATTATAGTAAATGTGATGTGTAACACACAGTACAAGTGTATTTAACAAGAAACATATAATACAAGCTCCATTTAATGGCCATATAATCTTTTAAAATATCAGACAGCTCTCCTGTCATTTTTCAAACTACTTTTTCACGTACAGACATACGTTTATTCCTTCTGTTTTAATTTTTTAGAATTTTTCTAAATATGTTTTGAAAGGTGTGAAAAACGTATCTTTTGAAATAAATATTTTATGAACAATTAAAGTTAAAAATTGACATTAAAACATGTATATTGAAAATTCAGCAAAATCACAAAAGGGAGGGGTGGTGTTGGTATGGCTTTTGTTTATTTTTTTATTTTGATAGAACAAATGTGATGTAAAAATCCACAGTTGACATTTTGTAACTAAGGAGCCGCCATGTTGACTTGCTGAAATCAGTAAAAATGTGAATAATACAATAGAAAAGAGAATAAAACAACACCTACCTTAAAACTCCATTTTAATGCAATACATGTATTAACCAAATTTGGAGACTTCACGTAATGGAAAAACCTTAAGCTTTAGGGTTTTCATTCGTATGACGTCATATTTTGAAATGACTTTAATGCAGCAAAAGCATTCATTGAATTTTGCAGAATTTTATTTCATTTTGATTTTGTACATTTTTCCGAGCTCTAATACATTAATTCTTTTCGTTATGCATCAGAATAAGAATAAAGGTTCTGTAGTTTTTTTTTCAATTGCAATTTTTAACACAGCGAAATCGGCATAGCGTTTGCACATAGGTTACGATACATGTGGATTTACGTGGGAGGTATATTGTAACAGCCATTATTATGTACATCTTTGAGTCTGCACTAAGTATAGATATATCAAGAATTTTATCACAGTGTTGTTTACAAAGCGAAAGAAGCACGTCATATTAGAATTGGTACTTTAGCATTATCAATGAAATCAGGATCTAGTATTAGTTAACTCAAGGTTTTTCCTAGCCCTTATTTATTAATTTATATATCTAGTAATATAATATCAAAGCTATTGTACAATTTGTAGTTAAACAAGATTCTAATCACACCATTGGAGTAGAGTTTGGGAGTAAAGTGGTTAATGTTGGCGGCAAGTCAGTAAAGTTACAGATCTGGGACACTGCTGGTCAGGAAAGGTTCAGGTAGGTAACCTTGGCAACAAAGTACTTTGAACAAAGTAACGATCAAGTACAAAGTTATGGTGTAAAGTGATAAATGATTGAGGAGTCAAGGTACAGATAAAAAGTCTGCATCTATGTCGCACGTTTTCACACGCTATTGACATGTCATGTCATGTCATGACATGATTTGTCATTGTCAGAGGTTGGCAACTATGTCAGATATTGAACACTTCTTGTTAGGATCAATGTGTTCTATAGGTCACAATGACAACCTTGAATGTAGGCTTTGAATGGAGTGATCTTATAATTGCAGTATTAGAATTACTAATTAGTTTATTTGATATTTATTGATGTAGGAAAGTATCAGAATATAGAATGGTAATTATTACTGTAAGTGTACGTATTGAATGTATTTATTGAAATATTAGATTTCATAAAAGAGTTTGTTTTTCATACTCATTTCTTAGTCATTGCTAGATAGATTATTGTTTGCTAACATTATCATATATTTCATGCACATTCAGGACAAAGCACTGCTCAAGTAACATTCACATAAGATCGATTCAAATGTACTAGATTTGCGTTAACTTTGTTCCTGAAACTAATACAATTAGGAGATTGTTGATATTGATAAGAGCAATAAATGTAAACAAAATATTATAATTTAGTTTTATGGTTTTTTTTGTTGATGATTGATTCGAACATTTTTATTTCCAAATGATGATGTATTTCAGATCTGTAACAAGAAGTTATTATAGAGGTGCAGCAGGTGCACTTCTTGTGTATGATATAACAAGGTAAGACTCGTATAGTCATGGTTCCTCCACCAATAAAAGCTGACTGCTACGAAATAGCCAATAGTACTCAAAGTGGCATTAAACACCAATCAATCAATCAATCAAAGAAGTTTTCAATGATAAGTTTTCTTTATTATTATTATAGATATATCCTTTACCAGAGATCAAACATTTAACCTTTGAATTGTTCATTTTAATGCAACAACAAAAAATCTCTCAAATCTCTCAAATTTGAAGGATACAGAGAATTGAACGACCACTTGTATGTAATTCCAAGTCACCTTTGTGTGTAGGAATTACTGAAATTTTCTTGAAGTGAGGATTCTTTTACTTACAATGGTACTGTTTTTTGTGGAATGAGGAAATACATTTTTTCTTTTAAACTTGATTTCCATCTATATATGAAATTTTATTTTTTGTGAAACACTAAAATTCAAGGTAAACTGGGTACCTTTAACCACAAAAGCTTCAATTAGTACCATACAAATAATACTTAATCCAAGGTATTTGCAAATGAACAGGATGAATGAGAGATTACAAGTTCTCTAATTTTCATGCTATTTTCACATGTCTCGATTGGTGTGAGAAATATATTTCTCCTCTCTAGAGAAAACTTTGTTCTCTGCAATTGATTGGTTGAAATTTCAATTATGACATCAAATTTTCTTGATTTCTTCTGAATTTCCTATTGTAACATCATGAAAAAAGGTGACCATGCCGCCTGATGTCATCTATTAAGAATACAACTTTCTGCAAATCTTTGAAGAGGAAGGATAAACTTGTTTAGATATCGTCTTAAAATCATTAGAGAAACAGATTCCACCACTATATCTCATGAATTATGATATTTCTCCACTCTCAACATTATATTTTAAATATTTCGGCAAGCCTCGCATTTAAAAATTTAACTCTCTCGAGTGGAGAAATATCATAACACACTTGATGCAGTGGTGGAATCTATATTTCTGAGAAAAAAACCCAGCAAAACTGATTATCGTATGCATTTGAGAAAAAAATCAAAACATGTTTTACAGTAAGTTCAGCAGAAAGATAACTTTTTTTTTAACATTGAGTGGCATGGTGAAGTATTTGACATAGCATTGATGGGAAATTTCCTTTTCCAAGGAATGTTTCAATTTTTCATTTAATGTCGATTATTTTATGTTCATGGGTAACAATTTTGTGGATTACAGAGAAATTTGTGGATACTTTATTTTGTGGTTTTGCGAAAGTCTATATACAAGCCTACAGACAATTTGAAAATCATTCATTATTTCTATTCATAGTTAACCTATACCTACTAAATCCACAAAACGTTTTTCAAAGATTGACAATGAATCTACAGTATTTGAAATTTTTGATATATTCCTGTTTTTATAGTGACATTTGAACTTTGATTTTTAATTTTGTTTAAGTTTTATAGATAAGTTTACCTGTGTCTGACAAAAAAGAATAGTCAACTGTTTTCATTCAAAATATGGAAACACATTTTAAAGTTTGTTTTATTTCAGTCGAGAGACTTACAATGCCTTAACAAACTGGTTGACAGATGCCAGGACGCTGGCCAGTCCAAATATTGTCATCATACTTGTAGGAAACAAAAAAGATCTGGAAGCTGAGAGAGAAGTTACTTTTCTCGAGGCCAGTAGATTTGCACAAGAAAATGGTATGATTTGAAGATGAAAAGAATTATTATTTTAGGGCTTGAAATTGAATTTACACCAATTCTTTAAAAAGGTTAAATATTCAATACAATTAGTTAACATAGAGAAGAATCATATAATTTTAAGAGTACTGAATTTATATTTTCAGTAGTGCATATTATGTCAAGATGAAAGTAATTTGAATATCTTGAAATTATAAACATCAGTGTTAAATATTTCAGTTTGACATATGCTTAATTATTATAATGTAGATAAGTTAGGCAAAATTTATTGAATTTGTTATATATATAATCTCATTTAGAAATTGATATATTATGTGTGATATAGTTATCTGATTTTATAATATTTTATCATTTTCATATTTGATATATTTTAGTTAATCTCAAGTTCTATTAATCCAAAACTTTATGTCTTAGAATAAAACTCCCAAATTTGTATACTTATTATATATTGGTAACTATGTCATTGCTCATTAGCTCTTACTAATCTGTGAAGAGCAGCATATACACTGTCCTATTTACTTGAGATTGTAAGATTTGTTTACTGCAAATGGAGAAATGTGTGCATACATTTATTATTGTAATTGTTATACAATGGACAAAATGTGATATTAATTATTGCTTTTTTAGGAAATGTTGCAAACAATACATTATATCACAACTTAAAATGCCAGTTTTTATTTTTTGAAAAACCTATTCAGTTGCAATTTTCACAATGATAAAAACAAGGCAAATATTTCTGAACTTACTGTATATCAAACTTAATAAAAAATAAAAGTGACAATGACTGCACAACTAGTAACTAGTTATATATATATCTGACTTAGATTAGGATGGATACTATCTTTCACATATAGCGCAGGTCCACAAACCAACTCACTTTTAAACAAACATTAGTTCTTCCGAAATTTTTTTAAAATACTTCATCCTTAAATAATAACTCTGTGAATACAAACTTATTATTGGCTGTACATTTTTACCGAGTGACATTTTCAAAATATATGGTATGAGAATTTTTTTTATATTTTGTAGAACTGATGTTTTTAGAGACCAGTGCATTGACTGGAGAAAATATTGAAGAAACATTTCTGAAGTGTGCAAGAAATATTTTGACCAAGATTGAATCAGGTCTGTTATCTGGTTATATACAATAGAAAAAAACATTTAAAAATGCTACACTTCTTCCTAAGGGTATATGTCAGAAGTTCAATGAGACTGAAAAAAACATAAAATAACCTTTGTTTTTTATGCCCCCACCGTAGCGGAGGGGGCATTAAGTTTTACTCTTGTCCGTCCGTATGTCCCAAAGTTGGTTTCTGTTCTCTAACTTTAGTTTGCCTCAACCAAATGTTGTGAAACTTATACACAATGCTTATTACCACAAAGCACAGATCAAGTTTGAATTTTGATGGGGTCACTTTAACCATTCTAAAGTTATGCCCCTGTACAAATGGAAAAAATTGCTGAATTTTTCGTTTCCGTTCTCTAACTTAAGTTAGCCTCAACCAAATGTTATGAAACTCATACACAATGCTTATTACCACAAAATACAGATCAAGTTTGAATGTTGGGGGGGACACTTTAATTGATCTAGAGTTATGCCTCTTTACAAATGGAAAAATTGCTGAATTTTTCGTTTCCGTTCTCTAACTTAAGTTTGCCTCAACCAAATTTTATGAAACTTATACACAATACTTATTCTTACAAAATTTAGATCAAGTACAAATTTGGGTAGCGTCACTTTTACCGTTCTTCAGTTATGTCCCTTTATAACTTTATATGATATGCAGGCGGGGGCATCATCACCATGGACACATTCCCCATTTATTTGATTTTTTTTTCAAGCTCACAATTACCAGTCATGAACGAAAATTGACAGATTATTTAATCAAGTGTGATTGTCTCTTGAAGTGTGTATCATACATCATTCACATTGATTATCAGTGCATTTTTGTCTAGCCTTGACAGAGTCAAAAAGCGAGACATAGGTATGCTGTTTCCGGCGACGGCGGGGGCAGTGTCAACAATGTATTAGTTCGTGATAAGGTCTAGTTCATGGTGAACCACTAGTGGTAGGTCAATGATATTTGGTATGCAGTTGTATAAGCATTGGCGTATCTCATTTCCATGGAGAATATCTGGCCCCGCCCCCTCAGTCATGGTCTATTGATTTTGAAACTTTTGCTTAGTGTATGGCATGTATTAGTTTGTGATTTGCAAGTATCATTTCCATGGAGATTATATAGCCCCATCCCCTCATCATGGTTCATTGACTTTGAAACATTTACATAGTTTACAAGTTAATGTTTGTGTTTAGGTTTGTTTAAAGGGCTCGACTTATATGAAGGCAATGGTATTTGGTATGCAGTTGTATTAGCATTGGCACATCTCATTTCCATGAAGATTTTTTAGCCATGTACCTTCAGTCATGGTTTATTGACTTTGAATATTTGCATAACCTACATGTTAAAGTATTGCTATTTTAATTTCAACATTTGCATTATCAAAATTACAAAAATGCGAGACATATATGTGTAATAACAGTTTATTAGTAAATGTCGACATTCTAAAAGTAAATTCTTTTAATCACAAACATCTTTTTTGTCGAGCCTTCGACTTTTGTCGAAAAAGCGAGACATAGCGATCCTACATTCTGTCGGCGTCGTCGTCGTCGGCGGCGTCCACAAATATTCACTCTGTGGTTAAAGTTTTTGAAATTTTAATAACTTTCTTAAACTATTCTGGATTTCTACCAAACTTGGACAGAAGCTTGTTTATGATCATAAGATAATATTCAAAAGTAAATTTTGTAAAAAAAAAATTCCATTTTTTCCGTATTTTACTTATAAATGGACTTAGTTTTTCTGCCAGGAAACATTACATTCACTCTGTGGTTAAAGTTTTTGAAATTTTAATAACTTTCTTAAACTATCCTGGATTTGTACCAAACTTGGAAAGAAGCTTGTTTATGATCATAAGATAGTATCCAGAAGTAAATTTAAAAAAAAAAATAATCTATTTTTTCCATATTTTACTTATAAATGGACTTAGTTTTTCTGCCAGTTAACATTACATTCACTCTGTGGTTAAAGTTTTTAAAATTTTAACAACTTTCTTAAACTATCCTGGATTTGTACCAAACTTGGACAGAAGCTTGTTTATGATTAAGAGCTAGTATCTAAAAGGAAATTTTGTTAAAATTTTATTCCATTTTTTCCGTATTTTACTTATAAATGGACTTAGTTTTTCTTCCAGTTAACATTACATAACAGTCTGCAGTTTAAGTTTTTAAAACATTTATTAGATTCATAAACTATCCTGGATTTTTACCAAACTTGGACAGAAGCTACTTACAATCAAAAGATAGTATAGAGAGGAATATTTTTATTAATTTTTTTCCTCAATTTTGTTGAGCCTGTGATTAACAGCAAAAGTAGGCGAGACACTGGGTTCCGCGGAACCCTTACGAATTTTTTATGTTGGAAAGAATACTTAAGAGCATGATTTCTAATGTTGCAGTGTATTTTTCTGCAAAATAATAAGGAAAAAGGAATCTTTATACCCCCAAAAAATTCTATGCTGCCATAAATACCATTATTGAAAAAATTCACACTCATAAGATAATAAATTACTAAAATTATATACTTGTCCATTTATACACTGTTTTACAGAGTGCTTTCTGTAATGATGTCTAAAAATTTAAGGGGGTCAAAATTGTACTTGTGTTGAAAATAGGATCAACAATATTTGAAACATCATTGAGACAGCAACCTAACAACATAGAGAAACTAACAACACATTTTTGTATGGGGTTACCAACTGTACTTAAAATTAAGTGAATATTGTAGCAATTTTTAACTAAGTTTGAATATTGAAAGCTATATATCAAGCTGAAAGAAAAATGAATATTCATGTCTAACATACCAAAGCTTTTTAATCGACCGCAGTCGTATTTTTGTGGTCGTACATTGGTATGACGTCGTCAGCGTCGTCTGAAGACATTTGGTTTCTAGACAATAACTTTAGTTTAAGTGTATGGATCTCTATGAAATTAAACCAAAAGGTTCAATACCACAAAAGGGAGGCTGGGATTGTTTTTGGGGGTGATGGTCCCCACTGTTTAGGAATGAGGGGCCAAAAAGTGGCCAAAACAAGCATTTTTCTAGTTTCAGGACAATAACTTGTGTGTAAGTATTTTTCTTAGTATGTAACCATCAACAAACATATTTTTAGAAAAAAAAGGAACATTAAAAAGGTCATCAATAGGAAAATACTTTGACTATATTGCAACCCTTATTTGTCACAGGTCTTTGGAAGTGAAGAATACAACAATGAGGAACAAAAAAATTGATAACCAACACTGAATCCTTAAATTATGGTGTACTTATAATGACAATTCTTATATTAGATTTTATCTTTTGTAGGTGAATTAGATCCTGAGAGAATGGGATCAGGTATACAATATGGTGATAGTTCATTACGTCGTTTACAGCAAAGAGAACAACAGCGACAGAAGAAAGGAATCTGTGACTGTTAGCATTTGTAGTCTTTCAGTAATCTATGTTGTTTGTACATGCTAACCTATATAACAGTTCTTTATACTTTGGATGAGTTATCTCCCATTGTAGTTGTCTATTTAGACATAGCTAATTTATTCTTGCTTCAAGGTATTATATAGAACACTGAAAAGCCAGATATTCTCATGTATCTGCTTAAACATTTGGTTGTGATGTTTGTATACAATTACATAGGTATATTGATATTAATGAGATGCGTCTATAGATCTGTTAATTTTGAATTTTAATGGTTTTGTGGATTATTAGCATTGCTAGGATATAAATTAATGATGTGAACTTTCGTCAGTAAGTGTCTATAAATGATCCACTTCTTGTCCAAATCCAATTGAAAGGTTTGTTATATCAAACTTCAGGGATAAATCTGCAGGGCATTATGCACCTGTTACTATGAATTCAGAAATCTATAGATTTCACTTTAAAAGAGTAAGAAAAAAAGTTTAATAATTTGTACAGTTTGAAAGCTATCAGTAACTTGGAATTCTCTGGACCAGTTCCTTAACATGTGTAATTCCTATTGTATTGTGCAATTTAAATGGACCCACATCAAATGTGGATTATTTAAATTCCAATAGTTGTTTCTTAATTTCAAACTAATTCTTATCTCTTCCAATAGTGATAAACATTCATGACATTTTGTTATTTTTGTACATATAGGATGATCAAGGGAAATACTAGCAACAATACTATTGTTGTTGTTAGACAATAAAGGCTTACTAACAATTCAGCAATGCTATAATTTTTTTTGTCGCTGTCCATTTTGTCATTTGTTATATAAACATATTGATATCAAGTGTAATTTGTCAGTACAATGTCATGAAGAAAATATTCATGGGTATGATATGCTCATACATTTAAAATTTAGGGGTTTAATGATTTTTAGCTGAATCTTGTTTAAATTTTGCCAATTTTTTCTTGAAAAGAGATAAAAATCTTAAAAGAATTTTAGAAATATCCGTATATTTATTCTCATACTATAGTTCTTTTGAATTGTGATTTAGTAAATTTAACAGTTAATTAAGAAAGGATTTTAATGAAAAATAAACATTTCATTTTGCAATTTTAGTTTAGAGATGTAATGAATAACTGAAAGATTATCAAATCCTCAAAATTAAAATTCTTAGTTTGCAATTGTGTGGTGACATCAAATGCTTTTGTAATTGTATCATTTATGGTAGCAAAAATATTTAAAATACACAACACAAAATATGCTTGAAAAAGTTTGCAAAAAATGAAGTGCTTTCAAAGTAGATAAATATTAATAACTTGACCAAACTTAAAATATTTATATAGTTTTATGATCTTCTTTATTGTTGTTCTGCACAAATTCATGAAAATATAGCCTTCCATTAATCATGGGACAAACCATAATTATTTAATTGTGTTGCGTAAATTCACATGATACTATCATGCTATTTCAAACATGCTTTTGAAATTTTAAGAAAATATTGTTGAAACCTGAAAAAATGTAAATATTATTTCAAGAAATATATTTAATTGTTCGCATTTTTTTTACTTGAGCATATAAAGGCAAGCATTTTTGACATTTAAGCATTTTGCCTGACCAATAATTGTACTTATCTATTTTACTTCCTTGAAAAAGGATAGGTGATAAAATTGTAAAAATAGAGTATAATTCTTCAGAAAATGAACTGTTACACATATGTAAGATAATATTGAGTGATTTGTTGTAGATGTTTTGTTATAGGAGTGCTTGTTGATATTTATATTTGTGTCATATCACATTTTTTTTTGTAGAGTATTTGTATTCTTTTATTAAATGTTATGAGGTTTGTGCAAGGAATAGGTAACATTAGTTTGTAATTTGTCATGAAGTGATTTTCTTCATATAGCAAGGATTTTCTTTAGCTCAAAATTAGTCTGGGAATAGAAATAATGTATTAAATTTTTGTTTTATTATCAAGAATTAATTCAAACAAAGATTCTTTTTGCAATGTGCATTTTAAAGGATTATTGTGATAATGAAAAGAAAAATCCACTTAATATAAACAACACCTTACTCTTGCTTTGTTATGGAAAGCTTGCTATTAGAAGAGTTTTTTACAATGTTTTATGCAGAATTTTGTCTTGATAATTACAGTACACCTAAATTTATTTAATTATAAATCACTCTTTGTTGTGTGTTATTACATATCTAATGCAGTTAGTTGATTGTAAATGAGTCATTCTAAACGTCTCTGTTGTTTTCAACATATAACAGATATATAGCCGGATCAAGAGTTCTATTTTGAAAAAAAAGAAAAAAAAAAAGTTCTATTTCTAAATCTCCAGTACCAGTAGTCAGTTTGTTTCACACTGATCCATTGAACTCCAAACACAAGTGAGAGTGATTTAAATTAAATCTTCTTATGTGTATTTATATGAAATCACTGTTTGATGACAAGGTGTATATATTATTTTATAAGTTAATTGATCATTTATATCATTAAATAAACAGTTACATGACATAACTTGATCATGTATATTCTCATGCCTCACATATATATATATTGGAACAAAAACACAGCAATTATATTTCAACTTTTTAAACTAACAACTAATTAAAGGTTCATTGAACATCAAATTTTCAATATTTTATGTATTCAAGTAGTTTATGAATGACCTTTTTCATAGTATTTGTGGTAAATTTATTAAATACATTTTCTGAAATATGCTGTCAAATGCTTTAACATGTCCATGTAAATTTTCATGTGGCCAAACACAATTTGTTACTGATTTCTGAAAACTGTTGTTTCAACTTTTGGAGGAACTAAAATAACAAGTGAAATTTTATTTTTCATGCATATGCTTGTTTTACAAGGACTAAATACCTTCATAGTACATGAACATTGTATTATGCTTTTAATATCTAAAATATACTCTCATTCATGGATCCAATTTGCCTTGTATGTAGAAAAAATCATTAGTTATTGGGACTTTATATAACTGCCACATATTATGTCTGCTTGTTTCTACTATCTCAAGCATAATACTGTGTCCACAGTTGATATACATTTCTTCAACATTTAAGTATTATCATGTTTAGGCCAGGATAAATCTTTGTTGAATTAATGGTTTCAGACATTGCAAGAACAAAACCACTCAAGTATTAAAATTTCTGAAAAAAAAACAAAGTGAAAAGATGTGGAACCATGAAATAAAAAAATAGGAAAATAAAAGTATTTTGACAATAAATACAAGTTACTAGATGATTAAAGAAATATATAACTCATTTCTAGTTGTGCAGTATCTATAATATGCAAAGTACAGTGAAACCCTGAGTAAACTGGACACCTGTCTTAACTGAACTCAGCTTGGATAAGTTTCACTGTTCCTGGTAAATAACCGTACATTGTTTTTGATGTCGTGCAAAATATATCATGCATTTATCAGAATATTAAAGTTGTTGTATAATAAATTGCATAATAACACCACATGTAAAGGAGTAGGCCCGGTAAGACCCCTTTTTGGCCCCAAAATATAGCATTTTTACCAATTTGTTAAAATGTAAACTTTAGCTAATTTTTGGAAAGAAAAATACTTCTGTTCCATAAATATGGGCTGTTTTTGACAATACAATGCACATGCATCAGGTAATAGCATAAAAAATCATGCAATCTTACTGAAATCTTCACAATTTTAGCATTTGTGCTAATTTTACGACGGTTTTTGTCCAAAATGGAAGTGGCCGCATTTGTGTTCAGTCTTAATATTTAAATATATGTTGTATTTGATGATAATACATAACATATATAAAGGTTGAGACTGAACACGAATGCGGCCACTTACATTTTAGACACAAACCATCTGAAAAGTGACGTTTAATGGCATATTTGATAGATTTTTCATAATAAAGCTTGAATTTGAGCGTCTTTAATGACCAAATCAGTCCAAATCTTTTACATAAACTAATTGAATCAACTGAGGTAGACACTTGAGTGTTTAAAAAATGTAAAAAATCTTTCATTAGATGTACTTCGAATAATAGGCCAAAACGAGCCCTTACCGGACCTTCTCCTTTGTAAAGCTGTCGAGGTTGCATGTTTGTGTGAATTGTCAGTGTTAAGCACTTTGTGATTATCAGTTTTCTGTATAAAATCTTGTATGTATACTGAAATTTTGTTCAATGTGGTAGTATCGTTTCTCGACATTCCTTTTAACTTCCAACAAACAAAACATAGATGATCTGTAGTGTATGTTAAGATGAGTAAGCATTTATATTACATGTAGGAATTAAATTAAACCCTTTTTCTGCAAAATATATTTCTATTCACAAATACGAAATGAATGATTTTTTTACTATTTGAATAGTCATTTACATTTTATTAACTTTAGCATTAGGGTATAAATGATATTTTCATGAAATATTCCTAGAAATAAAAATTTATGAGGTGATGCAATCTAATTTACGGCATAATTGCAGAATACAAATTTTACCGAAAATGCTATTTTCAAGCAAAGTGACAATATAATGGACCCATTTTATGTTTGGTTCACAATGACTCAAAATTTTCCAATTTGATTCTAAGATAAACTGTTTTATTTATTGATATTCAAGTAAGTGGGGAAAGGTTCAGATCCTTCAAAACATGAATAATGCAAGATCCTTTCATGAAATATCTGGTCCAAGACTTTTAACAAACAGTTCATTTAATTGTGGCAAATATAAATAACAAGTAACATGGTAATGCATCAAAACACTAGACATGTTTCCATGACAACATTAAATCCTATTGTTGTATCTGATATTTTTAAGACGTTGTTTCAACAACAAATAAAATAATTCATTATCATACTTATGAGTTTTAATTAGCCATTGTCTTTATATAATCAATAAGGTTTCAATAGGTTTTTCAATATCAAAAATGATCATATCTATCATGTACAAATGATGTGAATTAAAAGCTTGGTCATATGATCTTTATCTTGAAGAATTACAAGACATTTATGCTTGTCAGTATAAATTAAATTTGTAGAGGATTCCATTCAAACCAGTGTCTCGTCTGCTATGGTTGCTGTTAGAGTAAAAAACTAAAGTCAAAGTAATATTTTCTTTAGATGCTATTTGAAGCAGCTTCTGTGTAACAATCAAATCATAGAAAGTATGAAAAGCGTACTACTAAAAACTAAGTCTTCTGAAAAATGAAAAAAACTTATTTTCAAATTTTTCTTCAGACATTTTCTCTTGTTCATAAAAGAGCATCTGCCAACTTTTCATAATTTTTTAAGGTTAGACAAAGTTATACCCCACTTTGTCCATCTGTTAGTTTGTCTGTCTGTCCCATCAAATTCAGTCACTTTTTTCTCGGGGAAATACAAATAATAGCTTCCAGAAATTTGTTATCAGTCTTCATGTGATAATGGTATATTGTGTGATCCTAAACTTCATATTTAAATTATACTTATGTATTCTCACATAATTGCCATGTATGAAATTTTAGTCACATTTTTCTAGGGAACTACCAATAAGAGCTTCCTGAAATTTGTTATTAGGCTTCATGTTAATGTGCTTTACTGTGTGATGCATTTTCAGATTGATTATAAAAATAAGAAGATGTGGTATAATTGCCAATGAGTCAACTTTCCACCAGAGACCAAATGACATAGAAGTTAACAGCTATAAGTCATCATACGGTCTTCAACAATGAGCAAAACCCACACCGCATAGTCAGCTATAAAAGACCCCAAAATGACACATGTGAAACAATTCAAACGAGAAAACTAACAGCCTGATTAATGTACAAAATAATGAACTAAAAACAAATATGGTATACAGCAACAAACGACAACCACTGAATTAAAGGCTCCTGACTTGGGACAGGCACATAGAGATTGTGGCAGGGTTAAAACCACTGTAAATTCAGAAATTATTGCATGCATTTATTATTGCGATTTTTGAAGAATGGACAAAAATGCGAGATTAATTAATGCGATGTCAGGAAAATCTGCATACAGATATATGTATAAGATATCAGAATGCGAGTTCTGATTATTGCAATACTAACCTAGTCGCATTATTCGCATTAATAAAAACCTCGCAATAATTTCTGAATTTACAGTAGTTTGAAGGCGCCAACCATTTCCTAAACCTGGGACTGTGGTGTAACAGTATAACATAAGAACAAACTATAAAAATCAGTTTAAAAGGGCTTTACTCATCTGATCGATACAAAGACATACACAGACTGGCCGTGGCAGGGTACTTATACATCCCCACAACAAAAAAGACACTAAGTACAGATCTGAGAGTACTAGCAGTTACTGACAGCTAGTTCAAAGACAATATAAACTGTTTAAAAAATCATGCATCTAAGACTAAAATATCAATCAGTACACATTCAACATACAATGGATTTAGTGTAAAGACGTCATTAACATTCAGAGAAAAATATGGCCTTGTTCAATGCCAAGATACAGGTATCGAGAGATTGTAGAGCCATGGATTTGCATATGTATATAAAAATAATATTTAACTTGATTTTAATTTACTGATAAAAAAATCAATAAAAACTATTCAAAGATCTAATTACAGTGTTGAATTGGTCACCTTTAAGAAAAAAGTTTATTTCAAGGATCAATAAGTTAACCCGGATCGTATCTAAATTTCTGGGCTCGGTAAACAACATCTGCTTAAAAATAAGGATTTGCTTACCTGTTTAAAATAAGTTTTCTACAGGTACAACCAAACTTCCAAACCAAATCTTTGTATCTATGGAAGAATTTAGTGAAGGTTTTAAGTAATTTGTGGTAACTAAATCCCTGAATTAAGGTTCATCAAAAGGAATAAAATATGGCCTTGTTTACACCAAAAAAAATCTACTACGAGTACAGACAAACTGATGCATCTAGGAAAGTTTTAAGGCATGGCAGGACCTAGACATATAAAAATTATATGTAGTCTATGTTTCGGAAAATTAAAAACTTACCTGGAATTTGAAGTGCTTTTTTTCCAGTCTGCAGAAGATAGCAAAATAAACAAACACACAAGTTTCATTTGATACGGTCCACTCAGTTACACAGTTTAAATCAGCTATTGTTGGCAGAGGTCAATTTTCCATTTAAATCAATACTACTCACGACATTAATTATATATGAAGGGAGCTTCTCAAACCTCTTTCCCCAACTTAGTTTATTTTTGCACCTTCTGCAGAAACGAAAAATAATAAATAGCAAAATCCAGAAAAGTTTATAATTTTCTGAAACATAAAATGCATTTAAAGTTTATCTAGTTCCTGCCATGCCTTAAAAGTTTTCCAGGTGCACAGGTTTGTCTGTACTCAGAGTAAAGTTTGTGGTGTAAATACTGCCATATATGCCAATAGGTAATGATGAACCTTAATATGATTGCTTATCAACTTCCTTTTTACCAAGTTCTTATAGCAGGGGTATCATTGGTAAGCAGTAGCTTACAGATTTATTTGTTGATGTATAAAAAAAAACTTTAACCCCAGTCCACTTATCGGTAAAATACAGAAAAATGAAAAAATAGTTTCTTTTTCTCTGGATACTATCTTTAGTTCATAATAAACTGTTATCACAGAGATATGTCTCGCCTTTTTGTAATTTTGATAATGCAAATGTTGAAATTAAAATAGCAATACTTTAACATGTAAGTTATGCAAATATTCAAAGTCGATGAACCATGACTGAAGGTACATGGCTAAACAATCTCCATGGAATGAGATGTGCCAATGCTAATACAACTGCATACCAAATACCATTGACTTATTATAAGTCGTTCCCTTTAAACAAACCTAAACACAAACATTAACTTGTAAACTATGTAAAAGTTTCAAAGTCAATGAACCATGATCAGGGGTGGGGCTATATAATCTCCATGGAAATGATACTTGCAAATGCCAATAAATTTGCATACCAAATATCATTGACTTAACATTAGCAGTTCATCTTAAACTGATCTAATCACAAACTAATACATGTAAACTAAGCAAAAGTTTCAAAGTAAATATACCATGACTGAGCGGGCAGGGCCAAATATTCTCCATGGAAATGAGATGTGCTAATGCTTATACAACTGAACACCAATTAACATTGGCCTACCACTAATGGTTCCCCTTGAACTGACCTAATCACAAATACATGTTAACTTAGCAAAATTTTCAAAGTCTATAGACCATGACTAAGGGGGCAGAGCCAAATAATCTCCATGGAAATGAGATATGCCAATGCTTATACAACTGCATATCAAATATCATTGACCTACCACTAGTGGTTCCCCATAAATTGACCTAATCACAAACTAATACATGTAAACTATGAAAAGTTCAGTCAATAGACCTTGACTGAGGGGCGGGGCCAAATAATCTCCATGGTAATGAGATGTGCAAATGCTAATACAACTGCATACCAAATATCATTGACCTACCACTAGTGGTTCACCATGAACTATACCTAATCACAAACTAATACATTGTTCACGCTGCCGCCGGAAACAGCACACCTATGTCTCGCTTTTTGACTCCGTCAAGGCAAGACAAAAAAGCTTCTGTCCAAGTCTCATAAAATTTACGAAGGTTTGACAAGGAAACTGACGTTTAAAAAATCTTTTTTTAACAACCATTTGAATTAAAATGTTGATGCTACTGAAGCTGAAAATGAGAGCAGAATGTTTGATCATTATGTATCGCTTTTGCAACAAAATTTTGTAGGCTCAACAATAAAAAGAGTTGTAGGATGAAACTAAAAAACTTGACAGACATTAAATGATCTGCATAGTCTTCAACAACAGGCAAGTGTTTCAGTTTTCTTGATCTTTTGCTTTCAATCTACATTTGTCATTTTTAGTATTAAATGGAAAACAATTAAAAAGTGAAGTAAGGCATCAAAAATAGGTCATTTTGAACACATTTAATACCTCAGCTGTTGAACTTGACCACAAGTTTGCACTTACTGCAAAGAGGTGTCATATTTTGATGATGGGTACTTTTTTCTGAGAGTTACAATTTTTTTTTAAGTTTTGGATTAGGTCAGTGGATGATGTAACTTATAAAAGAGGGGCGAAAGATACCAGCGGGACATTCAAACTCATAAATCGAAAATAAACTGACAACGCCATGGCTAAAAAAGAAAAAGACAAACAGACAAACAATAATACACAGAACACAACATAGAAAACTAAAGACTAAGCAACAAGAACCCCACCAAAAACTTGGGGTGATCTCAGGTGCTCTGGAAGGGTAAGCAGATCCTGCTCCACATGTGGCACTCGTCGTGTTGCTCATGTTAGTACAAACCCAGTAAATAGTCTAATTCGGCAGGTCACATTCGTGAAAAGGGAACAGGATTGTAGTTTCAACATTAGGAACATATCCGCTATCATCTGTGAAACGCATATTCCATAACGGTCAACCAACTCGTGATGGCGTCCGTAAAATTTACAAGGGATGATTTCAACTTCACCATTTGGAACTCTTGGTTAATAGCTTCCTTGTGAGCAGCAACCCTTTATCAAGGAAATCATGATAGGAAATACAAGCCCGGGAATATATGTGGTGTAAGGATTGATTGATTTTTGGGTTTTATTGCCACTTTCAACACTCTTGACTACATAACAGCACCAAGTAATTAGTGGTAAAGAAAGCATGTGTGTCTGGTAGAGAACTACTAACCTTTGACTGAAAAACAAACAATCCTAATCAATTAAAATTGGAGTGCAATGCAACTGCCTGAGTGGGGTTTGAACACACAACTAGTTATGATTGTAGAAGAACTACTTAGACCACAAGGCAATCAAGGGCTTTGGCGCAAGGGAAAAATGCTTAAAAATAACATAAGCTTTATTAATTAACATCTAAAATCTGATACTGCATACAAAAATTAACATACAAAAAGTATACAAGTATAAAGTAAAATATAAATATGATGGGTAGCAGCTACCATTAACAAATGTAAATTATGAGAAGCATCTTAAATACAGTTTGAAACTATCTTCAAAGAACCAATGCTATTGATTGGTAAAGGTAATACTTACAATGCTGAGACTACTCAACCTAATAAAAAAAAAAGAACCAACTACGAATTTCTGTTTTGGCCCAATTACCAAATTTTTAATTTCCAGGGTACATCAAAACATTGTCATATTTTCAGACAATTCACATAACATTTATTACCGATACTTTACAACACAAACCATTGATGTGTAAATCAACAGCCCTGCTTAGAGGTTTGTTGAATTTAAATTTATCAACAGCTCTTTAAAAAATGTATAGCATTGATATCAGTAATTCTGGGGTGATGGACATCTCTTCAAGTACTTCACATGATTTTTTTTACTTCAATACCTTAAATACTATGGCTCTGTATAAAATCTAAAGACTAACCACATACAACAAAGATTAATATCAGAAAAATACACTTGGCCTGTATCAACTAAAAAAGCCAACAAAATCAATACACACCAAAAATTACAAATTTAGTAAATGACTTGCTTATTAATCTCGTACTAGAAATACATTACCAGCACACTCAAAATAATATAAAGTAACAGTATAGATTTGGTTATCAAAATTTCAACAAAATAATAGTATATTATATACTTGAACAAAGGAAAGGTGCTTTGTCCTATCATCTTTTACAGCCTGTCTTTGTCTTTAATCATGTTATATTTGCTTCTTTAACATAAAAAAAATTTGAAAGATGTTCTCTGCTCTTTCAAAATATGTGTCATTGTGGGTGTTTTGTGCTTTGTAAAATAGTGTATAACTAATTTTTGGAATCAGAGATGTAGGAATTCCAGGAAAATATGGGATCCACTATATCATCTCTTTCAGTCACTACCCCCCTCCCCCCAAACTGAAGCCTTTATGGTGTCAATGGTATGAGGTAAACTATTAATTAAGTGGATTTTCTGTAATAGTAAATTGGAGCAAGTACTGGAAATTTTGTTTTAGTAATTAAATATATAAAAATTTTCAGCATCATTATCATCTTTGTGTATCATTAGCAGTATGATGTTTTTAAATAATGTCACATCTAATTGTTTCATTGGCTTCCAAATGACTTAATGATTTGTCAATGACATTGATTATGTGTTACTTTGTTTAAATGTGTTTACATGTTTTGTTTAAATGTACTTTAATCATTCTAATCATTTATTGTGCTTTGTTTTGTAATTCATTAGATTGTATAGCTCAAATTTTGGGCACCATGATTGGTTAATAAAATATCTTGTATCATGATGTTCCCTCACGGTAGTGAACATGATGTCACAACAGTTAGAGTCATGATTGAGTGAACTTATGGTATCTGGTATATAACCCATATACCAACAGAAGGTGGGTGGCATAATATGACATGTGACTGTTCTTATTCAATGAAAACGTGCTAATTTGGTCAGAAGTAGGATAAACAATTTGACATGTATGCTGTGTAATGTTTTTAAGTGCAAGTGGTATTTTTTTGTAGACACTATTTATAAATTTAGAAGGAAAAACAAATTCAAAGATTATGTCTGTACATAAAACAGGATTAAATGGATATTAACAAATTCAAGATTGTATAATCCAATACAAAAAAAATGACTGCACCAACAACAATTATGAGTAGTAATTATGAAATTTTAAATTTCAGTTGCCTGCATTGTTTCAGATTATTGTTATAAAAACATTAGTCAGCAATATTTTAGGAAAAAATAGTACAATGATATTCCTAGGACTCTGTGCTCAAATGATGTTTTTCCTAAACCATAGTCAATTTTATAACATCTACAATATAATTAAATACAAAGCAGATTGATTGAAACCTTGTGAATTTAGACTTTAATGCATGTACATGTATTTGATTTTTTATGAGTATTCAACCATTTAAAATAATGTGACAATGATCCAAGCTATTCCTGTTATGTTGCTATAGGCAAATTGCAATGTTTATCCAGTGCATTCTATTAGCAATAATAAAAACATTGCATACATTTTTGAATTTTCAGTAACAGTTTTAATATTAAGAAATGAAAACCATGGCAAGATTTCAATTCCTACATATTGTCTTTTTTACATCCATGATTGTTTCTACGAAAAATAAATAACTAGAAACTAGCTTTAAATGCTGATACATTTGTCTTTATGTGGAAGACAAATCACTTGGTCCTTAAAATTTATAAGGTCTGAAACACCTTGGTCTCTCTTGAAGTCGTGACACAGACCTAGCATATTCATCAGCATTGTATTCTGGGTACATTCTACGGTACTCAGATTGCCAGCCTGCAACTTCTTTTGCTGCTTTCTCTTGTACCATTGCTTTCCTCTTTCTTTCTCTGGCTGATAAACATCTTCTTGCTGTCTCTCTTTTCTTTTGTCTTTCATGGTGGTCTACCAAGGCTTTCATTGCTGCAGGATAAACCTGAAATTTTTATACTATGAATATTATATCAAAATTAAACAACTGCAGTAAGATTTGGGTTACTAAAATAACAAGCATTCTGGGAGTATTGCCTGGCAATACATAGTCCCCTACCAGTTAAAAAATCATTCTACTAGAACAAAATGCTAATTTGATCTATAACTTGTCATGGTGTAAAATTTATAACAAATATCAAGTCAATATCTTCAAGCATGGCGAAAAAAAATGTGGAAAATTGATTTTTTGAGTGAATTTTCTATGTCCAAGGACCATAACTCTGCACAAAATCATCAGACCGGACCAAAATTTGAACTTGGCCCAGAAACTTGTCATGATTAAACAATACACCAAATATCAAATCAATATCTTCAAGCACGAAGAAAAAAAGTGTGGAAAACTGATTTGCCGGACTGACGGATGGACAGACTGACGGAGTGCAAACCTAAAGTCCCCTTCGACTTCGTCGGTAGGGGACTAATAAAACAGAAAAAACTTATCTGTTTTTTTCCTCGAAAATAAAAGAAACTGAAACAAAATATTATTTATAAAGCTAACAAGCATAAGAATTGTCATACTCCAAATTTGTCTTTTAGAAACAATAGACTTATTGATGTAGGTTATCACTATACTGTTGTTGTTGTGAAATCATTGCATCTTGAATTTATTGGGGATTAATATTCATTTGGCTATTAAGTTTTAAAAATGACAATAATGCTTCATTTATTATGAATGTTCATGTTTTCACTAGCATATGTTATGCATGGGGAAGCATCATTCTATTTTGCATTTTGTTTTATCCATTCATAACACATTTATTACTTATCAGGATAATTACAGAACTCTATCTTGATTTGATACTTACATCATTTGAAGCACGGACATTAAATGACTTTTTGACACCTGTCTCTCTCTCTTTATCACCACATCCATAAGCAACAAATGGTGGTCTGTAAATTGGTGAAGATTTTGGTCTCAATTTCTTAGGTTTCTTCTTTTCTTCAGCTGAACAATAGACAGAACAAAACATTAAGAATTAATTTATGTTAATTGTAACTGCAAGTATTTTTATACACATAATTATCTTATATCTCATTCTTTTATTATCCTAAACATTTTCACTTTGCAAATGTTGTTCTGTTCACAACTGATAGAATTTGTGATTTTTTATAGAGATTCATTCTTATTGTAATTCAGATAATAAAATATTCTAGTTAGTAAAAAATGGTGATTTTTGGTGAATCATTACTAAATATCTCTTTCAATACTACACAAATAAAATATGACAGGGTCATAAATCAGTCACTTAAATATAGAATACATACTATGATGTATATACTTAGATAATATTAATAAAGATTATCTTATGACTTCTAAAAGAGTCTCAAACAACTGTACATGTACATTCAAATCTATAAGAAATGACCCCCTTTTAACATGTTTAATCTGACAAGTATGAATGCAGACATTCACTGAACTAGCACACAATTTTATTTAGGGGCCAGCTGAGGACCACCTCCGGGTGCGGGATTTTCTCGCTGCATTGAAGACCCATTGGTGGCCTTCGGCTGTTTTCTGCTCTTTGGTCAGATTGTTGTCTCTTTGACATATTCCCCATTTCCATTCTCAATTTTATTCTACATGCAACATCAGATATTTAGAATTTGTAAAAATTTTATCCATAGGAAAACATACAATAAAATGTTAATTTCCCTAAGCTAAATGCTCACTTTCCAAAATATTATTAAATTTCAAAATCAGCTTTCAAGAAGAACCATATTATATTTTTGTCCATTCAAAAAGTAGAATAAGACTTGCTACAGTGATCTGAATTTCTGTCTTCTTATTGTATTTTCTATGTTAATAACTTAACATTGTGAAATGTTATTTAGCATGTTTAATAAACAAATCGTATGTATTACATTTGGAAATCAGATCATTTGTTTACTATGGTTTATTTTAAGTTTTAAACAAGTATTGTCCACTTTATTTATACATTTGTGACAATGTCTCAGATATAGAAATATACACAAATAGATGATGGCACATGTACATGTACATTTGGCTATAAAATACATAATAATATATCATCCTTAAAATTACTTAAATGCTTACATGATTTCAGATCCAATTTAAGATCATCAGATTGTTTACAAATATAGGTCTTTAATCCTTTTGATTGTACAACCTTTTTATTGTCAGCTTGCGATTGTAGATTTTTTTCTGGTTTGTCATTACTGCCCTTTGATTGTACTACTTCATCTTTATTATCTTCCTTTGTTCTTATATCATCAGTTAATTTACAAATGTCTCTTTTTACATCTTCTGTATTTTGATTGTCTTTACTGTCATATTTATCCAATTTATCTTTTGCTTGTTTGATGAGATCATCAGATTTCTCATCATCTTTCTCATCAATAACTTGTAATTTTTGTTGTAATATGTCACAAACTTCTTCCTCAGAAGTTGTTTTTGAATCACCTGAATCTTGTTCAAAGTCCCAAGAAAGTGGTGTATGGGCATGTTCCAATTCTCTACGGTGTGTTCTGTATTCTACATTATTATAATATTCCGGTATATTCCTAACAAGATGAGATTTTTTAAACTGTAGTCCATACTCTGATCTTTTAAACACCATGTTTGCAATTTTTGTATTACTGAAATAAACAAACATAAGCATATCAATGTCATTACAAATAAATCCTTACTAGCAGAAAATCATTTTAAATGATGCTGTGTTCTAAATTTAACAAATACTAAGATTTTTAAGGATAGAGTGTGCCAACATGGTCAATAACATTTGGACATAATCATGATAATTGAAAAGCTAATCTTACTTTGTTTTACTACATCATGCAAAATGCAACAAAAAAATCATGTAGTAAATTTAATTCAGAGTTATTGTCATTCATAAAATTCCATTGCACTATAAAATGTACTTAACTGCAATTTAGTATATATTAATTACATCTTACATTTTTTTTTTTATTTTGTAATCCTTTAATGCAATTAGTGGATACTTTTAATTTAATCATCTATTAAGTGTGCCTTGATTGGCAGAAATTAATTTTCAGATTACAAATTCAATAATGTTAGTGTGTCTGTTGTACTATATAACGAGATTAGAAGTACAGGTACAAATGTAATTACTTAACAAATGTTGGATAATTTATTTCTGAATAATTACAGTAAATAAAAAAAAAAAAAATTGTCTGCAAATAACATTTGTGTTTTATTTTGTTGACAGAGCTGCTTCTTATGTTCCAGAATACTTTGAGTTATTATCTAGTTCAAAATAAATAGTTGACACATAATAAATAAACTGCTTCGCTGAGCGCAGCTAGATACGCCCGCAGAGGTCCAACCCTGAACAGTTGGGACAAAAATGGACACAATATTCAAGCTTGATTCAGGTCCAAATTTGGATTGTAATTAAATATTTGATATATTATAGGTTTCTGAATAAATGTAGTCAAAGATCTTGAAATTGGTTATATGAATTGAATTTATATTCAATTAAAGTTTTCTTGCTGTTGTGCAATACTTAGTAAATCTGTTGTCAGACTATAAACAAATAAAGTTCAATTAATTCTCAATGTCATATTAGAAATTTATGAAAATAAAAAGGGAGCTTACATCAATAGATATAAACAATTCACCAAAGTTTCATGAGAATTGGTGACAGAATTTTTGAGTTATTGTCCGAAAACTGGAAAATCACCCCTTTTTTTAATGAATAAAACCCCATAACTCAGAAATGTAAAATGTAAAATTTATAAAATTCTAAAGGGAGCTTACATCAATACATACAAACAATTCCCCAAAGTTTCATTAGAATTGCTGAAAGCATTTTTGAGTTTTTGTCCAAAAACTGGAAAATCCCCCCTTTTTTCATGAATAAAACCCTGCAACTCGGAAACGTAAAATCTAAAATTTATAAAAATTGAAAGGGAGCTCATGTCAATAGATATAAACAATTCACCACAATTTCTTGCAAGTTGGTGAAAGTATTCTTGAATTATTGTCCAAAAACTGGAAAATCCCCCTTTTTTTAATGAATAAAACCCCATAACTCGGAAACGTAAAATCTAAATTTTATTAAAAACGAAAGGGAGCTCACGTCAATAGATATAAACAATTCACCAAAGTTTTATGCAAATTGGTTAAAGCATTTTTGAGTTAATGTCCGACATGTTGACGACGGACAGACGGACGGACAGACGGACGGACGGACAACGGTATACCATAATACGTCCCGTAAACGGGCGTATAAAAAGTCAATGTATAAGCAATTTTTCCCATGTTTTTAACTCTTTGGATGCACATACATCCACGGGCTGCTTTAAGTGGGGATTTACTAACCTACATGTTTGTACATAAAGTTATTATCCTTATCAATGCTTATTACAAGGTGTTATTTTCAGTTTCTGGTAGGTCCTAAATTAAATTTAAAGAGAAAATATTTAAATAACTTTTGATTCTTTTTACTGTCCTGACTAATCTGAAATAGATTCTGAGGTAATCAATATCCATTAACATGATTAAATGAAGTGGAAGATTGAGTTCACAAAACTGCTGTCAAGTTATCAAGTTATTTACTGTTTACCAACAAATATATACATGTATATACAATATAGGCAATTCTAATAGTCATTTTAGGTAAATGATATCTGTGGTTTTTTTTTTTAATACTTAATTATACTCTACAGCAGGTTAAACTATAAATACAATCTTTGAATAACAGTGCTCTAAATAAAAATCTAGATTAACAGGTCAAATTTCCCTTACAGTCCTTTAGCACTGTTGGTTGGCATTACTTTTTTTTCAAGGAATTTTTTACATTTTTGTTATCATATTATAAAACATAGTCAAATTTTTCCAGGCAGATTTTTTTCATAACCCATATTACTCTAAGTACTCTTTAGTATTATCTCAGGGATCTCAAAGGGATGAACTTTCACCAGAACAAAACCCTGAATGCTGTGATTGATTTATATCATTACTCCTTTTGTTGTAGGAATAGTGATAGGAGATAGACTAATTTATTATATTGATTTTATTTTAAATTTCGGAATAACCAATATTATCATAAGCCGTCTCTTGTAACTGCTAAAAAGTAAAACCCAATATGAACCCGAGAACCCAATATTTTATCCCAAAACTCTATTTTGTAGGGAGTAATAAAAGCTTCAAAAGTACTTTTAATTCTCTTTTCTTTAAGTTTTCCAAATAATGTTTTTACTTTTCAAATGAACTAATCCTTCAGTACTTTTTTATATTTTTACATGTATTTAGATAGAGTTAGCTGCCTTTAGAATAATTACGTTTCCCCCTTTCTTGCATACAAGACACACAAATCGAGTTCCTGAAGTTATACTGCCCTTTTATTGAGTAAAATGACATATATCTTAAATTTTTTGTCTTTATTATCGGGTCCACATTGAGTTTTAGGGAGTTCTCAGGAAATCGTTGTATCCACTTGGTCACTTGTAACTACATATTTTATTCAAATGTCATATATAAGCCTTGCTTCTTGTTATCGAGGATGACCAGTCACCACAATTCAGTTGTCCTTTTAACGTCAAAGTCTTTTCCTGTCAGAGGTATCTGGGTTGCTATATGTAACATCAATGCAAGAGACTGCTCAACGTCTGTGAAAATGATAATTGTGGAGTACAAAGATTATTCTTTAAACTTTATACACTTTGTAAACCATTGCATTGGTCAGGTTTTGGACTGAACACGGGGCATATTAATATGACGATAGCAGTGGACCATCATAAAACAGGTCATGGCCCATGGAGATCCCTGCTCCTTACATGTAGCTACAAATGTGCATTTCCAATGTAGTATTATCAATGATTATTGTACAATGTATAAACAAAAATGTTGCTTCTACAAAGTTAAATATTTGCAGCATTCATTCCAAAATTTTACATGTAACATGCAAGTGGCATGTGGGTCATGGATGTCTTTTAACTTGGAAAAAACTTTGCTTTTGGAAAATAACTTTTGTAAACAATGGTCATGAATAGTATTAATACTGTTTACTCACATGATACATTAAGTAATCCCCTACCAATCAATGATCCATAGAAAATCAACCTTTAAATGTTCACAATATTTTACTGTCTTCTTATAAATTTAATACGAAAACAAACTTTATTACTGTTTTAGCCAAAACAAATCTAGTCGTAACATGTTTTATAGAACCGCGTATAATTTTATTTTGCCTGGCATCAAAGCAATTCTCAATTTCTTTTGACCATATACGAACCTACATCAAGTTATGTATAACTGAAAGTAATCTTCACATTCTGCTTTAAAAATGCCAGATGTAAACTGCGTTAAACTTTCTTTGACTTTCTGTCCAATTTGGTTTGTTTTTAAAAACGACAGGAAGTTTGGAACGAGTAGTAAATGCGGGAAAGAAACGGTCAATCATGGCTGATATCCGGATAACTTGGATATCAAATTTTTAAAAGGCAGTGTCGGCAAAATAAAAAAAAAAAAGCTATTTTGCCGGCTCTATTGAAATTTTCATATCTACTTTTAAATTGATTTAAAATTTACATACTTATACAAAATTTCAGTAACTTTGATCATAAGATGTCCTTGAGCAATCTTTGCTCTATCATTCATATGCATGTATAAAATAATAACAAATCATGTCAAATGTTATGGTCTATTATGAATATTAAATAGAAAATACATATATATATATGTCGAATATATCATCAAGTTCAGCTGCTTAGGCTTATGACCTTGCATTCCCATACATATGACAGAGTTGTCAAGTCACAACTGGAGATTTGAAAAATTTCAGCTGGAGTTTGGGCCTCATAACTGGAGATTTTTTTTTCGACATATTTATCGCCGTTTTCAGTGTTCATTTTGATGATAAGACTACATATTTCCCCTTTTTTTAAGATAACATTATTACTATTAATGTATTCTCTCTGTGTTGTTACCACGTGATATATTTTTCAACACTAAGCTATATACTATTTGTATGTGATTTTTTTTCTTTCCTTGTTGTTAGTGTGTTTCTCAGTTCCACCATCCATATTTAGCTCTTCAGTAGGTACTATCTTTAATTTACAGATCAGCGTCCTCTTCAGGCTACCTTCAAACAAAGCTGTCCATTTTTTGTTGAACTGCAAACCGCATCTGATGAAAAAAAACTGATAATTTCAAATAGTTGAGAGGAATATCTCTAAGAGATATATGTAGTCAACATTGATCTAATAAAGAAGAAATGTGAATCAGATGCATTGAGATCTGTCACCAAAATGTCCACTTGGAACAACACAAGAATCCAATGTACAATTGCAAAATGTGTGACGAGGATGCAGACTCTAAAAAAACAACAAGTGTTATGTGTAGCTCATGCCTAGAATGGCAACATTTGTCGTGTGCCCGATTAAAAAAACACCAAATTCAATGAACTAGTTGAGATACAAATGTAAATTTTAACTAACTTTTATACAAAATATGAAGGTACATTTTTAATTGTGATACATTCTGCTCTTAACTGCTTTGAGTGGTATAAAAGTAGCAACTAGGTTATATATATAATTTTCAAAATTAGTTTAAGTGACTTTTACAAAATTAGGTAAAACACAGCAATTTAAAGCATTTATGTTAAAGTTTATTAATTGAAGTTAAATTCCTGTTTTAATAATAATTCATTCTTACCAAATTATTCAGCATTTTTATTGTGACTTATTTTTACAGTTTCAATATGTTTTTGCTTGACAATGTTTTTAAAATGTTGTGTGAATTTAGTGTATTATGTATGCTATTTATATTAAATTGAAAAAGATAATATTTCAATTTTCAATGAAACAAATGAACAAATACAATATGTAGGTCCTGTAATACATGCCGTCCGGGATGAAGGTCGGGAAAATTTGGACTGCCACTGCATGGAAAATGAGGGTATATTGGATAAGGACAGAAAATTTTCATTGCAACAGGCCACATACAAACCTCTCAAAGAGTTGTTGCAAGGGTTCTTTATGTGCAAAGAACGTGCCATTCTCTTTACACGAGGCATATGATTTACCGTCCGTATTCTGACCGGATATGACTGCGTACTTGTACATCCCAAACGGACGCCCCACTTTGGCAAGGGTTTTACTGCCGATCGGAAGAAGACCAAGAGTGATCATATATTTATTCCTCGGTCACCTTTGAGAAGGGGATATTAATTGAAAGAAAATTGATACGATTAGAAAGATCTGATGCAATACTGCAATATCCAGTCCAAGTGTTACGCACTATTTACATATCAACTTCACAAATAATACATCTGATGGTCTTGAAGTATAGATTCTAGGTACTGACGTTGTTTATCATCTTTATAACTTGCTATATTGTTCTTTTATTTGTCTTTGTAAATTATTAACCTTTAATGTTTAGTCCATTTATGGTAATATCCTTTTGGCGTGGCTCGGTACTTATACATCCCGCAATTATGTTGTTATGCTATGGTCATTTTATGTATTCCTGTCTTTCATTTTTGCTTATGTGCTTTGTCTATATGCCATTTTGTTTTTCTTTGTTGCCATATTTGTTTATTTTATAGTGCCGATTAAGATTATAACACAATGTTGACTGCTGTACCCCTAATTTTGACATTTTTACCTATTATGTCTGTTTGTTTTGTTCACACATTTTTTAAGTCTTGATGGCATTTCTATTTGCAGGGTCATTAGAAATCAATTTCCAAGTGTTATACAAATTACAGGGTATCGAAATTAATTGGATGCAGCATATGCGCATTTCGAATCAGTGGACTTGAAACGAAAACAGTGTTTAGGAAATCCGAAACCATCAAATACTGTTAAACAGAAGCACAGACAACATGCTAGATACATTTGCACCGTGAGGAGACATAACTTGAATGTGTTAGCATTGTTATATGAAATCTAAACATTTTTCACGAGGTTGAAATATCAAAGTTTTATCATGCAAGTACAAAAGCACTGGGTACCTTACTTTTGATATCATCAAGGACTTTACTAACAGTGGCATACGGTTGGAGTCATCAATAAGTGTCCAAAGCATATAACCTCTGTAACAGAAAGAATCATTTAATTTGTTGGGCTTCAACTTGTACCATCAGAAAACAAAAACAACACAAAGGAAAATGTCCGCATTTAGTTTATTGTTTAAGTAAAATGGACTTGTGTGATATTACAAACTTATTCGTTACAATAACATCCACATAATTCACCATTTATGTCGAAAGTGTGTTTTTCTTGTTTCTGTCATTTAAATATAATAAACTTCACCCAGAGGAAAAATAATCCCATTTTGACTGACAACAATGCAAATTATTCTAGAGCGCCATCAACGCACAGGAAGTGGGCTACGTCAATGTTTGTCAGTTTATTATACTTGCGATAGTCTACACAAAGACGAAACAAACTATAAGTAACACTAAATGCTTACAAAATTCTTGTCTGTATTTTTCAGATTTGACGTTCTGTTCATGGATTCCAAGCTATTGTGAGTAATATTGTCTTATTAATTTTGTCATAAGGCTTTGCAGAGATCCCTGTTTTGCCCTTTTCAGCAAGATTTTGTAAACAGGTACAGATACAGACTAATATCTTATGGATTCGAGATTTCTATAGCAAAAGAATAAGGTTCTTCAAAATACACCGTTTTAGTATCGGTCAAACTTGGATCGGATCTTTTAGTTGGATGTATTACAGCTGACATATATTGATGGTATATATGCTTATAGATTTTGCGGTGTTTTTAATGAAATTTTCCTTAAAACTTGACATTGTCGATTTTTCACGATTTTATCATGCTCTACCCGATGGAACACCCAATTCTATGAAACGTTGAGCCTATTCTTTACATTTGGTATTGATAGCAAATAATAGTAGGACCCCACTTGCAAATATATAGATCATAAATTTATAGCTATCAAATAGGGTAGAGATGTAAACTAACTCTTAGTGAGATCAGTTCATGTGGTTTAATATTATAGACTGAATTAAAATGATTGATATAAGTGATAACATTGTTGAATTCACAAAATACGACTATGTCAACAAATGAGCCTACGTCTTGTAGCTTAAACAATCCAACTGAAATATGACATATTGTTGTATAAACACCTCTGTTTCTTATTCATTTAAACGAGATGCACATGTTAGCGTCAAACTTTTCTTTCATATGGCACATTTCACCTTCTGCTTGAATTCGTTTCAATATCACAATGAACTGATAATATTGCGTAATACTTTCAAAAACTGAAACCTTTCCTCCCTTTTATTCAAAAACAAGTCACAGGCTTGAAAACATGCATCAAGAAGTAAGGAAATTAAATAGCAAAATGCGAAGTTGTTAAACAAGAATATATACCATGGTACTTCGCTGTGTGATTGTTTAGTATAAATAGAAACTTAAAGACGAGTTTGACATTTGATCTTTGGCAATCGACATGAAATCATTAACGTAAGAGAAATTTATATCTTCCTGAGAGTAAAAGCTTAATTTAGCACAAAACCGATATATTTATAAAGCATGGGATGTCATGAATTATAATTGGACTAAAACTGAAGTTAATAAATATAAACTGAATAAGTGAACGAAAATAATTTGATGACTCGCTAATTGAATGCCGTGGAAACCAACGTGTGCGCGATATTGGATCAATTTCTGTTCCATAATGAATTTGTATAGCAAGATAAAAATAGTGATTTTTGTTCATGTCAAAGGATACTACTTGTAGATTGATCAATACAAATGTTGAGGAAAAATGAGAAGTCATGCTGATAAACCTCCCTATATTTACAGTTTTACGTAAGTAATGTCTTTTTTCAAATAGTCTATGTACAGTTTAAATAAGTTTGAGAATATATTTCCTTTCACGACGGGTGTAGTTTCTGTTATCATATTTTCATTGTACTATAAAGTTATATTCAATACAGTGCATATATATATATATATCCAATTAGATTGTAAAAAAACTTATTTATTTCATGTTTTATGTAAACTTAGTTTTTAGTAATCGATGTAATTATCAGTATACAATTGTTTTGGGTTTTTATCAAATATTTCACGTCAATCGTTCAATAATTGGCAAAAAGGGGGAACAAATATTTTCTAAATCTCTGCAATTCCATAAAACTATGTGAAACTGTTCGAACTGATCATGTTCATCGTACTAACACATTAAACTATAATAAACATGTACGTCTCGAAAGTTTAGAAATCATAAGAAAATTTTAAAAGCATTTCAATTCTAGCAATAATTAATTTAACGTAGATTTTCTCACTATTCCCAAGAATCATTCTATAGTGTCACAGATCAAAACATTTTATGCATTCGTTTCATGGAAGGATGCACATTACAAAAACCAATTCCACTTTAGTTATTCCAGCAATATTATAGCTGTGAAA